AGTGTGTCTCTGTTGACACACTTTTGAAGCATCGCTCCCCTCACCATTGAGGGTTATTGTGAGCATGGTGCTTTCTTTCGAGCATTTGAATTCTCTCCCTTCTGATGAGTTGGATTCCTCGCTCCGTGGGCTATTCTCGTGGTAGTGTTTAGCAGTGCTCCCCTTTATCAAAGGGTCGCCTATGAGCACGCTACTCCTCATCTGAATTCGGAGTTCTCCTCTCACGTGAGAGTGGAGTTCTCTGTTTTCCCAGAGCACCTGGAACCAGCAGCATCAGGCGAACTAGGCCCTTCCTCCGCCTCTCTGATGCGTTGAGTTGTTGGCTAGCTTGCAGTACGCTTACCCTTCTGATTTCTAACGATCGTGCAGCAGGTCGAGCCCCCTCTCGTTGAGAGCTGGGTGTTGTGCTCCCTCAGCTAAGGTAACTTACTGCTAGCCGTTCCAGCATTGGAACATGCTGTAGGTCGAGCCCCCTTCTCGATTGAGAACTGGGTGTGTTGCTCCCTCAGCTAAGTAAATTACTGCTAGCTGTTCCTCCATTGGAACATGCTGTAGGTTGAGCCCCCTCTCGACTGAGAGCTGGGTATTTGCTCCCTCAGCTAGAGATTTACTGCTAGCCACTCCAGCATTATACCTTAGATCGAGCCGATGACTTCTCAAACATAGTGTTTTGGGATGCACCATTTCCATCTATGGGCTGCTCTTCAGAGTGCCATGAGGGCCCCTTAGAACGGTATTTTTAAATCCATGTTATGGTAAGTGTGCACGTGAAGTCTTTGTACACTTTCTAAAATCCACACGTGCTCTTTCTGAGTGGTTTAAAACCCCGGTTCCGTCTTGGGCACCACTCCTCCTATGTATCCTCTGGATACCTACTTTATCAGAGTGTTGCTACTAGAGGTCTCTTGAGACAGTTCCCTTAGCATATACACAGCGCGCGGTAGCCCCTGTGTGACAGGTCAAGACTTAGTATGATTCTAGGCTCTTGGTCATATTCCCTTAGAGGAATCTATTCCTGATTCCAAGCCTTGAGTTCTACCCCGGGCCCAGAATTTCTGGCCCTAAAAAAAGTTTTTTGGGGTTTGTAACCTAGGCCTTTGGCTGTAGGGGATAATGTCACTGACAGCCGTCTTACGTCCCAGGGGCAACTCCCATGGCTATGGTAGAGTTGGTACTTAGTGCTCGCCATTGTT